CACTTCTTAAGTTATTTTGAAATGAAAAATCACTTTGCAAAATTCATTAAACTAGGATGTGATTCTTTGTTTTACAAAAGATAATGAATTCCCTGCAGTTGCACTACTCAATAAATTTAAGTTAATTAAAATTAAATGAAATTAAAAATTCAGTTCCTCAGTCTCACAGGTCACATCCCAAGTGCTCAGTATCCATGTGTGACTAGTGACTACTGCACTGGACCGCACAAACCTAGTACATTTTGATCATCATAGAAAATTATATTGGATAGCACTGCCCTAGAAGCTTAAAAATGTGGTTCAACTACAACAATTTTATTTGTAGTCTACTTTTTAGAAACTCTATGATTGCCAGTGTCTTTATCACAAACTTAGAAATGAGATTTATTGGAAGGATAATTGATGGGAAGACTGAGGAACGAAGTTTGGAAAACTGGAAGAAGCCAAGGAAACCTAGGTAGGAGAGAACTCGGGCCAAGGTTATGCCCCAGTAACAATCTGGTTGGGATGTAATAGCTGGCACAGGTGCCACCAGACACTCAGTGTCTTTACTGTATTCTGTACTCCACTGCTACTGTCTTGAATAATCTCTCAACTGTCCTGATGTTTTTTCTTTGCTCTCCCAAGATTTGAACTCCTAGGTGGAAATTTCTGATTGGTTAAGCCTTGTTATGTGCCAAGTCTCCATGTGTCCAGGTGGGCAGGAATAAAAAAAAAAAAATCAAACCTGTTGCTGTAGGTTTGATGCCAACTTATAGTGACCCTATAGGACAGGGTAGAAATGCCCCATAGGGTTTCCAAGGAGCAGCTGGTGGATTCGAACTGCCAACCTTTTGGTTAGCATATGAGCTCTTAACCACTGTGCCACCAGGGCTCCTGGGCAGGAATAGGTACAGTGAAACCTGTGAGAGCCAGAACTCAACAGAGAGCCAGAACTCAACAGGACTGCCTTATTTTTCCAGGTCTCGCCAGTTTTCCGCCTTTGACAGGGTGCAGCCTTACCACTTTTCTTTCCCTATCTATTAGTGGAAAATATTTGAGTTTTCCTTCTCTTGCAACAGGTTCTGGCTTTCACAGGTTTTACTGTATATCTGGCCCACACAGGGAGGGAATTTTGTTACTTGATAGCCAACAATATAATACTGAATGCTGTACATTATAATTTATAAGATAAGGTTTATCTATAGTAACCATCCTATGAAATTAGAATTTATAATGAGTAGTTGAAATACATTATTTTTAATGCAGAAAATTATTATAATGTTTTGCAATTTCTGTTTTTATTCATTGGCGTCGATGTACTCCCCTGTCCTAGTACTCACAACACAGTATTGCAATTACCAGTTTACTTGTCTGTTTCCCATACTCTTTGTAAGCTCCTTATCTCAGCATCTATTGTGTAGATGCTTAATAAATTAAAATTTAATCTGTGAAGGGAAGAAGAAGTGGCCTATTTACTGAGAAACAAAAGTCGACTTTATCTCATTGTTTTATCCTTAGGATATTTGTTTTCTTCTTGCTAGTAAGGAAGAAAACTAAATAGCAAAAATATATGGGGAGGATTTTAAATTAGTATGTTGATTTTAATTTTATTCAAGAAGTTTGGCATAATTACAGATTATTAGTAGTTAATTACACGCTGTATTTCAATATAATAATACTATAGTATAAAATCTCATTGACTGAGAAACTATTAATTTAGAGTTTGTGATCTTCTTAAGACACCCCCTACTTAAAATTCTTTAAAGAATGTGCATTGCTTTTATGATAAAGGCCAAATCTTAACCTGGCCTGCAAAGCCCTGAATGCTCTGGCCCTTGACTTTATCTCTAGTCTCATCTTCCATCATCTGTTAATACATTAATCCTTTTAGCAAACATTTATTGAGTACTTACTATGTGCCTGGCACTGTTCTAAGAACTGAAGATATATCTGTGAATAAAACAAATAAACAACTTGACTTCCTGGGGATGGGGAAGCTGAATATTAAACAAATACAAAGCAGAAAAGGAGGATTAGCGTGCTGGGGGTGAGGATGTAGAGAGAAATACTGTTTAATGTACAACATGGAAGGGGAAGGCTGTTGATAGGTAATATTTGAGAAGAGATCTGAAGGAAGTGAAGAGAGTGAGACATTCAGATATCGAGTATAAACAGTGTTCACGGCAGGGGGAACAGGTACAGTAGGAATGTGCTTGGTGTGCTTTATCAACAAGGAGTCCTAGGTAGCTAGAGTGAAGTAGATTGAGCTGGGGGAGTGGTGGTACAAGATAAAGCCAGGGGATGGAGGGCGAGGAGTGGAATATGTAGTGACTGGTAGAAATGTTAAGGACTTTGGCTTTCATTTTGAAGCTAGCATAGGGTTTTGGGCAGACTAGGGATGTGTTGCCTTGAGCTTTAAAGAAATTACTCTGGTGGATGTGTAGTGAATAGATGGTAGGAAGTAGAAGCAGGAGACAATTTGGATTATTGCAGTACTGCAAGTGAGATATGCTGGTAGGGCTTGGTCTAAGTGACAGTGGTGGAGGTGCCAACTGGATTCGCTAATGGATTGAGTGTAGGACGTCAGAGAAAGAAAGGAGTCAAGCATGACTCCAAAGATTTTGGCCAGAGCAGCTGATAGAGTGAAGGTGCCACTTATTGAAATGGGGAAAAATACAGTAGGAATAATTAGAACTTTGGTTTGGTAAAATGCGTGTTAATCATCCAGGTGGAGACTTTGTCTATGTGGTTGGATGCATGAACCTGGAATTCAGGGCAGCAGTTGGGACTGTAGTTGTAGTTTGGGAACTGTCTGTGTAGAGGTGATAATTACAGCTGTAGGACTGGATAAGATCACCAACCGAGTGTACACAGGGAAAAAAAGAGGCACTGTAATGTTTATAAATGGAGGAGATGAGAAGGAAGCAGCAAAGGTGACTGGAGAAGTATGACAATTCAGGTCGGAGGAGAACCAAGCGAAAGTGGTGCCCATGCACCCTTGTGCTTTCTCTGGTCCAGCCACACTAACTTTCACTCCTTTTGGCTCAGGAACTCTGTGCCTTCTGTGCTCTCTGCATCCTTTATGTCTCAGATTAAGTGCAGATTCCTTAGAGATGCATTTCTTGACTCTGACTTGGCTACGTTTCACTGTGCTTCTCTTTTGTAGCATTTATCACAATGTAAATATATAATGTTATACTTATTTAATATTTACCTCCTCCAATAGATTGTGTAAGCCGCAAAACTTGTCAGCTTGTGTACCACTGTATTCCCAACGTCTAACACAGTATGCATAGTTGGTGTATAATAATGAGGATAATCAGAAAATTTTAATGAATAATGATAGAATACAAGTTTGCCCTTCGTTAGCAAGTTCATTTTGAATAGATGGAAGAAATCTTAGGGGAAATATTTAAATCATAACGAGTAAAATTTCAAAACTGTAAAAGCATTATAATAGTTACAATTGTTAGGTTGAGTAAACTAATAATTAGTAAAGTAAAATGTCTTGCATACTGTAGCATCTCATAATTAATTTTATGTAAAATTAGTTCAGAATTTGTACGTTAACGAGTACATTACCGAGTATAAAACTTTCTGCCTTTTTGACTTTATTGTTACCTTATCTTAAAAAGAATTTTCCAAAGATACAGTATAGGATCCCAGAATCCTTGATGACCTTAGAGATAATCTAATAATGGTAATAATGATAGCAAACACTTAATAATACTAACTGTTCAGCCAATATTCTAATTGTTTTACTTATATAAACTCATTTCTTCCTATCACATAACAGTCCTGTGTGATAGATGTATGCTATTATTACTCCATTTTACAGATGCAAAAACTGAGTAACAGGTTAAATGGCTTACCTGAGGTAGGAAGTGGCAGAGCCACTTTGATTTGAACTCAGGCAGTCTGATTGCAGAGCCCATATTTTCACACCGCCTTCTCCTTTGACACTTTGCAGTCTTTCCAGGGATACCTCTATCCCTGGACACCTTCAGTTTTTTCCTTGTAATGGACCAAAATCCTGTTAGATATTTCTCACCTTGGTTCTGGTTCAGTCCTCTAGAGCAGAAACTGCAACCCACATTCTTTCCAGGTCAGGCTAGGTTTAAAGAAATAGTGATTTCAGGTTTTTAAAAAAAACTTGTCTGTTGGCCATATTTGGTCCAATCTCTGGGTTGTTTTAGATGAATACTAGCTAGCTTAATTTCCTCGTTGTGTAATAACCCTTCATATATTAGAATGCAGTATTATGTGTCTCAGGTCACTGTCCTTCCTCACCTCCTCACCCCTAGCCTAGAACAACTGTGTGCTCTTGGACAAGCTAGTTGACCTTGTTGAGACTCAGTTTTCTCATCTGTGATTACCAGTTACCAGTTGCTGTAGAGTCGACTCTGACTCTTGGTGACCTCAGTGTGTCAGAGTAGACTGCTCCATAGGGTTTTCAGTGGCTGATTTTTTAGAAATAGATTGCCAGGCCTTTCTTCTGAGGTGCCTCTGTGTGGACTTGAACATTTTTATTGGCAACAGAGCATGTGAACCATTTGCACCACCTAGGAACTCCCATCTGTGATTAAGGGTGATAATATCTACTTATTAGATTGACTTTAATATTAAATTAAAATAATATAAGTATTCAGAGAGAGGTGACTGTTTTGTTATATTGTCTTAGTTGTAGCTAAGGGTATATATATTTAGTATATTGCTTGCATATAACTATATCTGAATTTGTTATCCTATTTCATATATAACTAAATTATTTCCTTTCAGCTTTCAAATTAAGGGGGAAGTGACTCACCCTCTTGAAATGACTTACTTTTAGAAAAACTTTTTGTTTGTTTTTAGTGGTTCTTATCTTTGTCTTAAATTCACTACTGTTTGATTTACAAGATCAAAGCTGTATTCTTTGAAAGCTGATGATTAATATTAAGAATTATATTTTCAAGCTCTGAGCGTTTTTTTTTGTTTTCTAATACTCTTATATAGGATGATCTTGTTTCTATTTTCAGCATTGCAGGGGGTCGGATACTGTCAGTGATAAAGATGCAGCTGATTAAAGGCCAGGACAGCAGGGATCCTTTTTGTAAAGTAGTAGAGGAAGTTACTCAGAATTTGGATTTGAGGATTAAAAATATTATCGGTTCTCAACAAGGAGATGTAGCTGTTCACACCACTGACATCAGTCCTGCACGGGTAATGAGCTTTTTATTTCATCATCCTTCTTTACAAAACATTATCTCTTCTATTTACTGTAGAAATGGTTTACTATTGCCAGTTAAGTCAGAAGAATATGTTTCCTGTGTTCTAAGATGTTGAAAATTTACATTTTTCAACAGGATTATGTAGGATTATGGGGTCTCCATAAGTTGCAAAAACAACAACAGCAAAATATAATACATCCTAACTACAGTAGTATGGGGGAACTTGAGTAGCGTGTTTTTAGCCCTAGAACAGAATTTTGGAGTATATGTTATAGTCCACTGATTGTGGTTTAATTATCCAAGTATCAAAAGCCCCTTTTCATTAGGTATGATTGTAATAGCTACTACATGAAGAAAGACTTTTGCTCTGTTTTTATTTATTATATATTTATTGGTTGATTGATTTCATAGCCCTCAGGGGCCGTTTTTAGCTATTTTTCTGAAATAATTCATGGTTTTAGCTTTACTTTGAAGGTGGAGCAGGAGGGCCTCTGGGGTGTTACCCCATGTATTTCATATGTGTTAACACCTCCTGTGACTAACTTGGCCCAAATGACAGCGAGGTTATTACTGTAAGAGTATAGATCAGGAACTGGCACAATTTCAGATAATTAAGAACACCAATCTTTCCATTTCCTGATGCTTAGTTTTGTTTTTAGCCAAATCAGAACTATTTGAAACTTTAAATAGTTTAAGGAAACATTCAAACAAATAGTACTCAATGAAGTTGTTATTAAACAATATGAAATTCTCTGGTACCAATGGAAAAAAAATACTTTAAGGACTGGTTTATGATCGGTAACTTGTTATAATTCCAGTGTAGCTGTGTGTTATAGTTCACCTGGTAGCCTGAGTCTGTCAAGTAGAGAAAAATGTTGATGAAAACTGAGGAAACCAGTCCAAGTACAGTTGACGTCCCAGAAAGGGCAGCTTTGATACCTAGGTGCAGTGTCCAGCAACTGTGTGTGTTTGGCACTGTCGTTATCTCAATTTTACCAGTGAATCTAACTGCAGCAGTGAGAGGTTAAGCGGCTTCATCTGAGTTATGCAGCATACAGAACTAATAAATTGAAAGTAGACCCAGCCAGAAATGGCTTCAGAGTTTGTGACTCTTCCTTTTTCTGCTCATCTCCTAGATATTGGTATTCTCCTTCCTTTGCACACTTCTTAGATTTAGTTTTCTCCTGGGTCCTCTTCAGTTTAACATAATTTTCTGGGAAACTTTATATACACCTATATGTATTCTCATGCTACTGAATATATATCTCTCTTACCTCTTACTAAGCTCTAGACCTGAATATCTAGTTGAATACTGGAGATTTCTGGTCGGGTGTTCCAGAGATACCTCAAATGTAAAATGTTCCTTTATTTCCCTTCCCCACTTTCCCCCTAGCCCTGTCTTGGTTATCTAGTGCTGCTCTAACAGAAATACCACAAGTGGATAGTTTTAACAAACAGAAGTTTATTCTCTCACAGCCTAGTAGGCTAGAAATCTGAATTCAGGGCATCAGCTCCAGGGGAAGGCTTTCTCTCTGTGTTGTCTCTGGAGAAAGGTCCTTGCTGGCAATCTTCCCCTGGTCTAGGAGCTTCTCTGCACAGGAACCTCAGGTCCAAAGGACATGCTCTGCTCCCAGCACGGCTTTCTTGGTGGTATGAGGTTCCCCTGTCTCTCTGCATGCTTCTCTCTTTTATATCTCAAAAGAAATTGACCTAAAACACAATCTAATCTTGTAGATCTCATCAATATAACTGCCGCTAATCCATCTCATTAACATCATAGTGATAGGATTTACAATACATAGGAAAATCACATCAGATGACAAAATGGTAGACAATCACATGATACTGGGAATCATGACACATATTTTTGGTAGACACAATTCAATCCATGACACCCCTTAAATGTGATCTTCCTCCTGTATTTCTTGTCTCAATTACTGACATCATCATCTACCCATGTATTCATAATTAGAAGGTTAGGAACAGTTATAGACTATTTCTTTTCCCTTCTTCCTCTATCTAGTCACTAGATTTTCAATTCTCCCCTTTTAATCTGCTTTTTCATTATCTTCACTGCCACTATCTTTGTTCAGATCGTCTTCATTTCTAACCTGGACTATTATAGTCTCTTAATTTGTGAAATTGTCTCCAGATTTGATAACACTCTTACCCTGGAATTTAATTTACACATTGCCATTAGTGCTTTTTCTAAAATCTAAATAGGATCATTTAACTTTCTTGCTTAATGAAGTAAGAGATTTTAACCCTGTAGCTGACTGGATCTGCTATAATCTGAATAAAAAAGGAACCCTGGTGGCAAAGTGGTTAAGCACTTAACTGCTAACCAAAAGATTGGTGGTTTGAATCCACCAGTCGCTCTGTAGGAGAAAGATGTGGCAGTCTGCTCCCTTAAAGATTATAGCCTTGGAAACCATACGAGGCTGTTCTACTCTGTCCTATGCGATCACTATGAGTCAAAAATTAACACAATGGCAATGGGTTTGGTTGTTTTTTTTTTTTGGTTTAGCAGACTGAATGAAATCTTAACTTCTTTGTATAATACACAGCTTTCCCAGGCTTTTTTCACATTACTCCTCTTTTTACCCTGTTCTTCAGCGATATCATGCTTCCTGGTGGCTGAGGGTGCGTGTTCTCTCCTACCTCTGTGTTTCTCTTCCTCTGTGAAGCCTTCCTTGACCCTGGGTTAAATTGATCACTCCCTTTTGTATGCTGCCACTGTATCATGTGTGTATATACCTCTATTAGAAATAGCACTTAGCACTTTGTAATGCAATTATTTGGTTGCTTATTTATCTTACCAAGTAGACGGTGGGTTCCTTGAAGGCAGTGGTATTCACCTTTGTAGCTAGTTTTAGATGTAGTGCATTAATAAGCAGATACTTATTAATGATTACTGAATGAATGAAAGTCAACTAGTTTCTTTTAAGTTTTGCATTTGATTAAGTATTTACAATCATCATGAGGTTGGTATTCAGATCTCCAGAACCCCAACTCTCTTTTGTATAAATGAGAAAAAATACATAGAGAGGTTAAATCATGAAACTGAGGTCATAGTAGCTAAAATTTTCTGATTCAAAGCCTAATGTTATTTTGACCAGAAGCCAAGGCCTTCCTTTGATGATACTGTTTTCTGTATTCTTTTGTACATCTGGAAGTTGATAAGGTTGCTTATAGCATAGCTTAAAAGAGAAATACTCACATACCTTAAATGCTCCTCTCAGAGCCTAATTTTTATTACTTCAGCAATAGAGGAGAAAAAAGAACCATGGCAGGTGACATGCAAAAGTGTGACTGATACACCCAGCTAGGGTGATTCTTAACATTTACTTAAATTATTCTTTGTTGTAGCCAAAATCACATGCCATAAATCATGGCACTGCATACTGTGGCAGAGATACTGTGAAAACTTTACTGGTTCTTTTGGATGAAGAAGCTGCTGATGCTCCTTCCAAAAACAAAGCAGAACTCTTATATGATGATGAAAATATAATTCATTATAATGGAACTTCTATTCTTACACTTTTCAGGTAAGGAATGTGGAAATTATATGTATATACTTGTTAACTCTAGTCTGTAAAGAGATATTTTTTTAGAACACCTTTGATTACAGAAGAAATATATGCTTATGAAAGGAAATTTGGAAACTGTGGAAACAACAGAATAGTATAAGGAAAGAAAAAAATTAAAGAGAGATTGAGCATCTGAATGTGAGGAGATTGTATGTGAGAGTATGTCAGGTGTTTTTTTATTTAGAGTTTTTTTAATTCTTGTTTTTAGTTTTACAGTGTTTATTTGCTTTTCAATGTGTCAAGCACCTTGCTAAATACTTCCACATATATTATCTTAGCCCTCACAAAAACTCCTTTTAATAATATCCCCACTTTATAAGTGAGTAATTGGGCATCTGAGAGAGGTAATTAAGTACTTCAGGTGAAGGCTTACAGAACAAATAGTTTCTCATGAAACAGTAGTACACATATTGTTTTATGACATTGGTTAACAACCCCACAACATGTCAACCCTCTAACTTCTCAACCTTTTTTTTGGTGAAAATACACATAGCCAAAGATACACCGTTTCAAAAATTTCTACATGCACAGTTCAGTGACATTGACGACGCTCTTCCAATTGTGCTGTTATTCTCACTTAAGATGAAGGCTTACAGAACAAAATAGTTTCTCATTTAACAATTCCTACACATGTTGCCCTATGACAATGGTTAACAATTTCACAACACATCAACAATATCGTTACTCAACCTTGGGTTCCCTATCAGCAGCTTCCTTGTCCCCTTCTGCCTTCTGGCCCTTGTCACTGGACTACTATACCTCATTAGTCTCGTTTGGTTTTACGGGGCTGTCCACTCCCAGGCTGAATGGTGAACCTCGGAGATAACTTCACCACTGAGCTAAAAGGGTGTCTGGGGGCCATACTCTCAGGGTTTCTCCAGGCTCCTTTAGGCCAGTAAATCTGGTCTTTTTTTTTGTGAGTTAGAATTATGTTCTACATCCTTCTCCAGCTCTGTCCAGAACCCTCTGTTGTGATCCTGGTCAGGATGCTCTCCAGTTTTAATAAAAGATCAGTAACAATTAGGTTGATGATATTTTAAATTATATGATATGTATAATTTAAATGTATGATATTATACATGTATAATATTATGTATTATATATTTTAATTATATAATACCTTTTATTATATATTTATGGAAACATTAAAACATTTACGATAGTAATTTAAAATTGTATTTTAGTGCCTTGTGGAGAATTTTTACAAAATAATTCCACTGTTTGATCTTTTCTGTTTTCTACTTAATCTACTTTTTAGAAATATGATTCTTGTCTAAAATTATTCATGACTGTCCACAATTGCTTCATACACTCTCTCCTTTTGTGCTTCACTATGGCCTGTCTTTCAGTGTTGTTATCTAATTCTTTAAGTCTCATCTTCCCCAGCTTCCCATGATTGTTCTTTTATATCTGGGCAGGATATAATTCTTTACCACTCTACCTCAGAAATGCCAAACATTTTCCTACCAATGAAAATTTCTGTTATCAACCTATATTTATTTATACCTCTGCTGAAGTCCCAGAAAACAATGTAAGGAAAAAGAACCTTTCTTTTTTCTTCTTTTATTGTCTATTATAAAGTTTACTTCTAGGTAGAAATATGAATGATTTTAACTTTTCTCAGATTGAATTCTACTGTTTTTTAGAGAAAGTTATTTTCTGTTTATAGAAAACTTTCTAAACAAAACTAATTCCCAAATACATTTTAAAAAGTATTTTTTTTTTTTTTTTTTTTGTACTTAATCATGTTGTCAAACACATTTAAATTGTTTGCAGTTTGGATTCTACATTAGTATTTCCAGTTGTCACTATGCAGACAAGAGCCAGCCCATGGAGCCTTGTTGGCACAGTGGTTAAGAGCTCAGGATGCTAATCAACAGGTTGGCAGTTTGAATCTACCAGCTGCTCCTTGGAAACCCTATGGGGTTGTACTCTGTCCTATGGGGTTGCTATGAGTTAGAATTGACTCAGTGGTAATGGGTTTGGTTTTTGGAAACCCTGGTGGCATAGTGGTTAAGAGTTGGGCTGCTAACCAAAAAGTCTGCAGTTTGAATCCACCAGGTGCTCCTTGGATACTCTGTGGGGCAGCTCTGCTCTGTCCTATGGTAAAGGTAATTTTTAATGGTCTGCATTGAAATGATAAAATTAAGGACAATGTGGAGTATGAAAGTGGGTCAGTGTAAGGTGGTCAGCTCTCCTTCCTTAGAGAAACAAAGCGAAGCCCCTTACCGTCGAGTCGATTCCAACTCATAGCGATCCTATAGGACAGAGTAAAACTGCCCCATAGGGTTTCCAAGGAGCACCTGGTGGATTCAAACTGTCATTCTTTATGGTTAGCAGCCGACTCTTAACCACTACACCACCAGAGTTTCCTCCTTACGAAAGACTTTCTTTTATTATTATATAATGGTCTTTTGAGCCAATGGGGTTCTGACGCCGGCTCTATTAAGCCAAAAAAGGAATTTACTGGAGGAACTCAGGTGGTTCTGGCTCCAAAGCTTCAGTGTCTCCTTCTCCATTGTGCCGTCTCTGACCCTCCTACTATGAAAATTATGGATGAATACAGGTAGTCCCGGACTTAACGATGGGGTTCTGTTCCCACGATTCTGTTGTAAGTAGGTTGTGATGTAAGCCGAATACCTTTTTTTTTTTTTAGTTCTCATTATTATTGCATTTTATTGTCAGTATCTTTATAAATCCGATCTGTGTTTGTCTTTGAGGGTTGGAAACATTGCATATAAATGTACAGATATATTTTAATACCTATGTAACAAAATACATAAATCATAAAAATTTGCTCCAACAGTGAAGAAGAGTTGGATGACATTGGCATTTTGTCAGTTGCAGTAATAACTTCACTTGTGAAAGATTCTGGATCATCTGGATTATCCTTGGGAATGAGGATGGCATTTCTAGTCAGAAAATTAGAGAGTTATCTATATGGTCCTTTTCTTTTTTTCTTCATACATTTCTCAGTAATATCTCATTGCTTCCCTAATCTGCCTATCGACTTTAGCAAATCAGTCAGCATTTGAGTCCATGTTTTTGAGCAACTGAAGCCCCTGATTTAGTGTAGAAAGCTAAATCTATATGGCAGTGCTTTGAACAGTAAATCATAAAATTGAACATCTGTGAGTGAACATCTGAGAATGATAACACCAGCAAATTATGTGCTGCAACATTGTATGTAGTACATGTTTCTAATGATAAGATGTACAAAAAAAGGACGGTCATAAGTGTGGTTCATTGTAACTCAAATACGTCGTAAGTCAGGGACTACCTGTACTTATATTCCTGCTATGGCACGTGTCATTTTCTAGTTTGAATTTTAGCTATGTGGATATCTTATTTTCTTTACTTAGACTTCAGGATACCTGAATCCATGGTCAATGTATGAATCAACTTTTTATACCTTATAATATCTTATTATATTGCCTTATAAGTAGTAGAATTTCAAATATTTAACGACTGAATTAATCAATTACTATTTAGAACTCTCAGAACACTTTTGTTTAGTATTGTAAACAACTAGGAGCCCTGGTGGTGCAGTGATTAAGCGCTCAGCTGCTAACTGAAAGGTCGGTAGTTCGAACCCAGCAGCTGCTCTGTGGGAGAAAAGACCTAGTGATCTACTCCTGTAAAGATTTCAGTGTAGGAAATCCTATGGGGCAGTTCTACTGTGTCCTACAGAACCCCTATAGGGTTGCTATGAGCTGGAATCGACTTGACTCGACGGCAAAGAACAATAAGAACAATGTAAACACCTAAGTTATCTTTCAGTTGTGCTTTCAGTTAGGGAAGAAGGGGAACTAGTTGAAAAGCTATTTTTGTTCATAAGTTTTTGCTTTTTTTGGACTTAGATCTCCCACACAAGTGAACAATTCATTGATGAAACCCCTAAGAGAACGTATCCAGAAGTCAATGCAAGAGAAAAAAATTAAGGTATAATTTAATGTACTATCATGGAAATGATAAAATTGTTTCATTTTTAGTAGAAATGTATACAGTTGATCTGGATATTATAAATATACATTATACATGCAACAATATGAATTAAATGGAAAACAAGTTATAACTGTTGATATACAGAAACTTTCCTTTTGTATAATCTTGACCAATCCGTCTCTGGTTTATTCAATACACTGAACCTAAATGAAGCAGAGGAATAAACGCCTGCTATGGTAAGTGTTTGGAGCCCTGGTGGTACAGTGGATAAGAGTTCAGGCTGCTAACCAAAAGGTCAGCAATTCGAATCCACCAGCCTCTCCTTCGAAACCCTATGGGGGAGTTCTACTCTGTCCTATAGGGTCTCTATCAGACAGAATCGACTCCACAGCAACAGGTTTATTTTTTTATGGTAAGTGTTCAGTAATATCTGTTGAATGAATGAAGGAGAAAATAAAGAAGACATGGCTTTCTCATTTACATTTCCAATATTTTAAACTGAATCTTGAGAGACTGTATAATTTAAAAATTTGTTCCTGCTGAGGATATAACCGGAGAATATAACTAATTTGTAGATTGAGAGGGGAACATTTCACATTTTTCATTGACTAGAGCTGTTCTTTATATTTTCATTTGGTTTGGACGAAGCTTTTCTGTCCTTATTAGAAACATTTATGCCTATAAGTAGTTAGTAATGTGTTTATGCAATTGTATGAAATTTTTTTGTTCTTATTTTTCAAAAAGAGACTTGGTCTTAATCTATTCTTTTATTCAGCATATATTTATTCAGTACCTGCTCTGTGCCAGACATTGTTCTATGGTTGGGAATTCAGTCATTCATTCAACAAATTTTTTTTTTTTTAATTAAAAATTTTTTTTTTTAACTGTACTTTAGATGCAGGTTTACAGAACAAATAGTTTTTCACTAAACAGTCAGTACACATATTGTTTTAAGACATTGGTTAACAACCGCACGACATGTCAGCACTCTCCCTTCTCAACCTGGGAGGACCTTTTTTTGGTGAAAATATACATAGGCAAAGTTACACCATTTCAAAAGTTTCTACATGTACAATTTAGTGACATTGATTGCATTCCTCCAGTTGTGCTGCTATTCTCACTATCCTTTTCCAAATTATTCCATCACCATTATCTTCAACTCACTACCCCCTAGGCTTCCCATCAAACCTTTTGAGTTGCTGTTGTCAATTTGATCTCACATAGATAATTCTTTTTTTTGTACCTTAGATGAAGGTTTGCAAAACAGTTTCTCATTAAACAGTTAGTACACATGTTGCCCTATGACAATGGTTAACAACCCCATGACATGTCAACACTGTCTCTTCTCAACCTTATATATCCCTATCACCAGCTTTCCTGTCCCCTCCTGCCTCCTAGGCCTTGTCCCTGGACTGCTCCACCTCATTAGTCACATTTGGTTTTATGAGGCTGTCCAATCCCCGGCTGAACGGTGAACTTTGGGAGTGACTTCACCACTGAGCTAAAAGGTTGTCCAGGGGGCCATACTCTCGGGGTTTCTCCAGTCTGTCAGGCCAGTAAATCTGGTCTTTTTTTTTTGTGAGTTAGAATTTTGTTCTACATCCTTTTCCAGCTCTGTCCAGGACCCTCTATTGTGAGCCGAGTCAGAGCAGTTAGTGGTGGTAGCTGGGCACCATCCAGCTGTACTGGACTCAGTCTGGTGGAGGCAGTGGTAGCTGTGGTCCATTAGTCCTTTGGACTTATCTTTTCCTTGTACCTTGTTCTCTTCATTCTCCATTGCTCCCGAAGGAGTGAGACCAGTGGAGTATCTCAGATGGCTGCTCACAGGCCTTTAAGACCCCAGACGTTACTCACCAAGGTAGAATGTAGAACATTGTCTTTATAAACTATGTTATGCCAGTTGAGCTAGATGTTCCCTGAGCCCATGGTCCCCACAGCCCTCCGCCCAGCAATTCAGTCACTTAGGGAGTTTGGAAGTATCTATGGAGCTTCCATGACCTTTCCTTGTACAAGTTGTGCTGG